GGGGACATTAGAGGCAATGTGGCGTAATGTTCGACATGTCGATATTATACACTGCACTATCACACCCAAAGTTCGAGTCCAGTTGTCAGGTGCTACTGAGACCTAGGCGAGGCCAGAACTGGATTTCATTCTGAACTATATGAGAATATATTTTGGGAATCAAGGCAATGTGAAATGCAATGGAAATAGGAGGATAAATACAGCTCTTATGTCTGTAAGAAGCGTTATGTAGCAGTATAATATAACCAGTTTACCTCTGCATTAGTACGGCTAGACGGAGTTTCCCTAGCCTAAATGCATGCTTGTAGGCTCCTCCTCTTCTTCCTTCCCCCGTAGGTTTTGGATACCAAGCCTATGCAAGGCGATTCCGGGTCACTTTGGCAAGCGTTTCTGGTTTGCTATAAACACATACCATTTTATTGCCGTCTTAGTTAACCAAAATCAGGAAACTATTATAGACCCTAGTGCACAGGAGGGTAGCCACACTCTGAAGCCGCCCATCCAGGCTATCGTAAAGATGATCTGCCCAAAATCAGATTTATTAGAAAGATTTGCCATAGCCACAACCCACAATATTGTGATGGCCAATTTGGTATGAAAGGTAGTTAATTTTAATTAGAACTTTGGTATGCCTGTTGAATGAAGTCGAGCCTATGAATGCAAGTTTAATACATAAAAGGCTCGACAGAAATCCGCCATTTTTAGCGCTTACGACGCTTGCGAACCATTGAAAAGTGGTTTAGAAAGAATCATGATCAATTATTCTACAGCTCAGAGTCGATTGAGGACCTGTAAGTCCTTGAAACCACAAATAGCCCATGGTGTGCTCTTATTCTATGAACCAATATAAAATACTTTCAGCAAATTTCCATTCTCCCTGGAGAACCAGCGGCACGTTCAGATTTGAATAAAAGTCTACCTCATCAACATATCCTCTACAAGTTGCAGACTTTATGAAAAATTACTTGTGCTGAAATCCCTGCACATCTTCAATTCTCAAGTATTTATTTATTAGCTTCCCTTCCAAAGATTAAATAGGTTTTGCAGCAAGACAACTTCTAAAATGTGGGCCAGAATGAAGCTTTGTGGTGAAGTTCAGCGTTCTATGTGATTAACTTTTTTTGATTCAATAAACGTAATCTGCCCACGCCAATGGAAAGGGTAAAAATTCTTGAGCCTACACAACTACCTACACAATTAAAATACTATGCCTAGTATTTAGTATAGAAATACAAATATTCTAAGGCTAGCAGGCCGCAATTATTTTTAATATTATTTTTATTATTTAAAAAGTAAAATTCATATTTTTAAGTAAAATTTTACGTTTATGGAATTCACTAACTTAACACATTTCATGGGTTACTCAATTTTTCAGAGTGGTTGTCCCTTGATTTAAAAGAGCCGTGCTAGACAATATTGCTTTTTGATGCGGTCTGATCTCGTTTTTGCAACTTGGTCGTGTTGTCAGGGCGACTTAGTT